TTGGCCCCTTGCTGTTCCCCAGGAGAGGGTTTTCCTTCTGGTCGGGGGAGGGGTCTGTGGCCTGTCCAGGTGGGAATCCCTGGTTGGTTATTTCACTTATTCCTTTATTCGATTGTTATTTTTCAGGTGTTGTGTCTGGGTAATCTTGCCTGTCGTCTGGGTGCTAGACTGTAGGTAAAGATGGAGTGACCAGGACACACCCAGGGCAGGGCTGGCAGTCGCTCACGTTGGGGCCACCAGCATAGGTCCTGTAGGGGAGGGTGCCCCAGCCCAGTGGGAGGCTGCCTTGCTGCGGGATGCATGACACCACCGGCCTGTCCTTGACTTCATTTGTTTGTTTCTGAGACAAGGTCTCACTCTGTCCCCAGGATAGAGTGCAGTGGCATCATCGTAGCTCACAGAAACCTCAAACTCCTGGGCTCAAGTGATCCTCCTGCCTCAGTCTCTAAAGTAGCTGGGACAGCAGGCGTAAGCCACCACGCCTGGCTAACTTTTAAATTTTTCGTGCAGATGAAATCTCTCTGTGTTGCTCAGGCCGGTCTCAAGCTCCTGGCCTCAAGTGATCCTCCTGCCTTGGCCTCCCAAAGTGCTAGGATTACAGATGTGCACCACCACACCCAGCCCCTTGACCATTTAAATACTCTTCCAAAACCAGAATTTCCTTGTTCTGAACAGTCAACGGCATGTACTAGGCAAACTGGTTCTTGTCGTCAGTATGCATGTCACTTTTCTACCATCTGCCTTTTCATTTGTGGCTATTTGCCCTGCACTCTTCCTGCAGAGCTTCAAAGGGGTGGCAAGAATTCTCTGTCAGCCCCACGGGCAAGTGGTAGATGCTTAATAAATGGACAGGCGTAGATCTATTTTGGTTATAAAAATACATAAGAAATAACATTTGCCTGCTTTTAACAGACGATAAAAAAATTATAACTACATAGAAAGAAAGATTCCTGCTGTTCTCTCCCTAATCTTTTCTCCTTCCTAAGGAAGTAAATACTGGGAACTGGTGCGTACCCTTCTAGACATAATGTTTGCTTTTCTACGATATAGACTTTAAGCTTTTAAAGTGTAAATGTAAAATTTCCTCTTCCTTTCTTTCTTTTTGTATTTTACTTACAGTATTTCACTTGTTATATATTTTATACATATGTGCAAGACTTTTTGTAGCATACACTTTTGAAAAATGGAATCATTTGGCCACGAGGCGTATATATTTTAAATTTTTATAGATTCTGCCGAGCTGCCGTCCGAAGCATTTGCAGCAGTTAAGCGCCCGCTGACAGAGCGCGTGGGGGACCCCCTTCACCCTCATGCCTGCCGCTCCGATGAAGCGACGTGCCCCCTTTTCACCTTGCGTTTATGTTTCCCTCATTTCTCGTGGGCTTGAGCCTCTGGACGGATTTCTTTGGAGACTATTGATGGCACCGTTTTACAAGCAGGTTTCTTCTTTTCAATTTGCAGGACAGCTGTGCGAGAGTGCTGCTGTTTCG